TAAGATCAGTAGTAGTAATAGTAGAAGTCATTTTCCATTGCTTTAAAATAAGATAAGGAGTGGTAGTAGTCATTTTCTATTGCTCTGAAATAAGTAGTAGTAGTAGTCATTTTCCGTTGGCCATTGCTTTGAAATAAGAATATGAGTAGTAGTAGTAGTAGTCGTCTTCCATTGCTCTGAAATAAGATTATGAGTGGTAGTAGTAGAGGGAAAATTGAAGGAACCTTGAATTTGGGTTGGAATAGGTTAGAGCTGCTGTTAAAGAAGGGCATCTCCCCAGTTCAATCTCGATAATATTATTTTATTTAATATTTTCTATCCATCAATGTAGTGATACATTGGTATACGTGGTTATTATTTATAATTAAATAATTAATGAATTTTAATAAATTAATGTTTTTACTTGTAAATTAATGGTAACCAAATTCTTTTATACAATAAGATACAATGTCAGTGACATCTTCATTCACTAATATATAATAACATCTTAAAAAGTATAGTTCTCCTCTGCAATTAAAAATATTAATTTGTTATAATTTACTGTTTTTTAACTACAAATATAATCCATACTCACTGATATTCACCACGTTAGTAGAAGAAAATATTACTAACACAATATTTTATATAAAAGAATTTCTCCCATTAGAGATGCACTAAGACTTCTATTCTGCATATCTTTGGACAAACGTTTTCGTACGTTTACACTGCCATCAATTCACTGGAAAGTTAACAATTTGATACCAAACAGAAAATTCGTATCCATTAATTATATTACTAGCGAGTTGCACCTGCAATGCGGGGGTAGTGTTGTATAATTATGAATTATTATCCTATAATGGCAATTAGAGATGTCTAATGATCATTTGTGAGGAAAACAGTTACTAACAGGTATGTGCAAGGCATTGACGGCTCTCATCTTCTCCCTTAATTTCTTCGACATGGGAGCTTTTAATAATTCATTGGGCTGAGCTTTTTTTTTTTTTTTTAATCCCAGTTAAATTATTTCTAAACTAGATTTAGTGTATACACTAACTTTTCTTCAAACGATTTTTAAAGGTATTTCTCTTACCTCAGCCTAATCTCTAATGGAAAAAGGAAATAACAGAGATTAAGAAAACGTCAAACGGTGCGGATTGAGAGCCTGTAGCCCAAATTAAATTGGGCTGGAGGTATGAATTTGATTGGGTTGTGTTGGGTCAGATCTGATCCGGGGTTTAACTGGAATGGGATTAGCGCGACCCAGAGTAATCGCGTAATTTGCATCTTGCACCAGAACAAACCTTAGGTCCAGCCCAGCCCAGCCCATTCTCCTTCTTCGTTTCCAGCTCCACGCTCAATCTACCAACCTCCGGCGTAGATCACTGTTTTCTCTTGCAAGGGACGGACCGCTGTTTGGCCGTTTGCTCGAATCGGGTTCGGTCCTCCTGCTCCATTATTTCGGTACCGTCTCATCGACTTTTCGTTCTACATATTTCTATATGATATTTTGAGATGTCGGTCGGTCTTGATTGGTTTGATTCTTCTGGTTAATTGTATGTGATTTAGGATTTTGTTTAATTGAGTATCCATTAATGCCGACTTTGGACTCGTGCAGCTCTCAATCCCTGTATTCTCTAGTTTTGTTTAGAGTCTTCATATCCAAAAATTTGTAACGTGGTTTCTAGACTATAGGCAGCAGTGTGACATTCTGTTGCGTACTGGAAATGCCGTAATCCCATTTAGCTACCCATTTGTCTTGTCACCCCCTGTGGTTCTGCTTAGTGTTCAAAGATATCAGAATTTGACTTTTGCAATTTAAAATCTGTGTTGCTTCTTCTCCTCTATCCTGAAATCAGGATTATCAAATTGGATTCTGTTTTGTGGTTAACTTATGTCATGGATTACCCTTAGATGAGAGTGCTATGAAGGTATGCTTTGATTGCTTCTGCTTTCTCTTAATCTATGAATAAGAGTGACTAAGTAAATGTTTCAGCACATTTTCAATTGATATATATATATATACATATAAGGATATGCTAACACACAAAGTCTTATACATCATACTTTTAGAAAATATTGATAATTTATTTATCTACTTTCCATAGTTGATATTTATTCACTTTTGATCATAACTATTAATAATAGTCATCCCTTGTATCGAAAATGTTGTTAATAAATCTTAATTATTGAAATTTGGGAAATGAATAATTAAAATTTTATATAAATATAGTGTGTAAGATTTATGTGTAAACATGAAAAACAAAATAAGAGATGATTTTATAATAAAAGAAGAAAAGAAGAAGAGGCGAATATTAATAT